TTTTATGGTGAGAAAAATTTATTACATTTAGAATTAGCCCGCTGGACTCAGTTTAGATGATCCCAATTTTGTTGGCAACATCCAAAGCATCATAATCAGGAGCAAGTCGAACATAGGCCTTCTTCTCTCCATCAGGCCTAATCAAAGTGTTGACCTTAGCCACATCAATGTCATAGAGCTTCTTTACAGCTTGTTTAATTTGTGCTTATTGGCCTTGACATCCACAATGAACACAAGTGTGTTGTTATCTTCTATCTTCTTCATAGCTGACTCAGTGGTCAGAGGAAATTTGATGATGGCATAGTGGTCAAGCTTGTTTCTCCTGGGAGCACTCTTCCGGGGGTATTTGAGCTGCCGTCGGAGTCTCAGCGTCTTAGGCCGCCGGAACGTGGGTGATGTGCGGATCTTTTTTTTTGTGGCTGTGGACGCCCTTCAGGACTGCCTTCTTGGCCTTCAATGCCTTTGCTTTGGCTTCAGTTTTGGGAGGGGCAGGGGCTTCCTTCTTCGCTTTCGGCGCCATCTTCGTAGAAAGGCTTAACTCAAGTCTTAACTAAGACTTCCTCTCTCCAAAGACGAGACTTTTACAATTTTTTTTTTTTTTTTTTACAATTTAAATACTTCATTCTCCTAACATAATTAATGTAGAGGAAGAAACTTCCCAGGGCACTTGAGCCTTGCATATTTGTCTCCAGAGAGGCTAAAGATTTGGTAGTTTTCAAGGAAGATGACCTAAAAACCTGGAAATCCTAGAGTTCCTCAGACTCCAGGACTCCTGGCTGTAAGTCTAAGTTTGCTTACCTTTCCTCTCACGGGTGTCTGCACCTAGCAAAAGAGGAAAAGGGTGGGGTGGGGAGAAACACACTACCCAGTGGCCTCACATGCAGCCTATTCTGTAAGAGCTACTTTCTGGGAAGAGCTAGGGGCTGGTTATACTGGGTTCAGCTATGAGCCATGTACTCGTTAAGGGAGGTCTAGTGGTGTAGTTCACTGGGAGCTGCACTGTTAACCCAATGGTATCGCCTCTCAGGTGGTTCGAATTCTACAGCCTCCAAAAGTTTCTGCTATGAATCTGTCCTAACTTGACAGCAATGAGTATGATACACGTGATAGATGCATTTTCTGTATTAAAGAAAAAAAAATCTATAGTATTTTATTAGGCAGCTGGTGGTGAGAAAGAACCAAGGAACTAGATTAAGGCACTATTACTGACATAAAGTAATAAAGATAGAGGGGGAGGGGGATGTAACAAATCAACCATGTTTTCTTCAACTCATCTCCTGGTGTTTTTCCTGGATAGCACAAGTCTAAGTGCTTTTCAGTTAAGTATTCGTTTCATCCTAACATGCCTATGAATCTCCTTACAGGAAGCAACCATTCTGCTCTAGAGTAGGTCCCATGGATGATGGATTCACTCAAAAACTTATACTTACAAAGCTGGAGGTTCGTGGGACAATTACTATTGCTAGTCACATTTATTAAATAAGTATTAAGGTCAAAAATCTCAAGCACAGTTCACGAAGATTACACAGGTTCTCTGTTCTACTCTCATCTTTTCCCACCAATCATCTCCACCACCCTGGCACTCCATCCCCTAAACAACAGAAATAATGTATGGGTGTTGCTTTCACGAATAAGTACGGCAAGCAGAGCCTCTAGTTAAGGTGTCAGATCCTCAGGGATGAAACACAAAAGTCAACTAAACGCAGAATGTGGCCAAGATTCGGAAACCAAACTACAAATTAATTCTAGGAGCAAGAACGGAGGTGGCAGTTAGTGTAGGACATGCAACTGAAAAAAGAGGCAGGACAAGGGGTCAGGGAGAAGACTGAATTTCTGAATTCTTACTGTGGCGTTCCAGTATCTAACCTCTCTTTTGGCAGAACGGCGTCAACAAATGCACTCTGAAGGGCACAGTCAGGAGGGGTAAGAAGAGTTGTTAACCAGAAAGAAACAGGGCTGCCAGGGGCACAGTCAACAGGCAACCCACCTAAAATGTAGACTGTGTCCGGGGCCCCTTGCTTCGGGTGCAGAGGACCAATCGTTTCAGATCAACATCCCGCCTCCTCACTTAGCTGGCCAGGCTCTCCCTCTCTGTTAAGTGTTCCCTTGCAATAACAATCTGGGGATTTGCACACCCTACTCTCACAACTCTCACATGCAGCCCACTAAGCCCGACCAACAGTGACAGGTGCTTACGTAGAGACCACCTTCCCGTTCAGGATTCCCGCCGGCGCCATGGCTTTAACTAGTCCGCGGATCACGATGCAGTGCCAAAACCGAGGTCCGACTTTCTCCACAACACAGCCCACGTGTTTAGCGACCACCCGGCGATCCGCGTTACTGCGTCTGCGCTAAGAGGGTTGCAACCGCGCGTGCGCAGTCTGAAGGCGCGTAGCGTTCTGTTACTGGGGAAGAGGTGTGGAGAAAAGAGTCAAAAAGAAAAGAGAATGGTAAGGAAGCAGGTGCCGAAAATAGGCTGGTGAAAACAGCTAGCTGGTAGAAAGAGCCCTTCCAGTTTGCACTGTTGCAAGGATCTTATAACCCTTTGTAAAATGAGGCCGAGACAGGCCTCCGTTCTAGCCAATCAGGGAGTAGATAGTGGGGGCGGGGCCGAAGGCGGGGAAGTCTCGCGGGGAAAAGTTTCGCGGGCGCGGGAGTCTCGCTGGCCCACCTGAATGCTGTGTTGGGGGTTTATGTATGTAACGGAGCGGGTCACCTTCGGCTTACGACCGAGCTGCTGGCCTGCGAGCGCTGTACCTGCTACACCAGTGCGTGCGGCCTCGGGTTTCTCACATGTCGGCGCTGGCGGGTCCTCTCCCTTCACTTCTGTTTGAGAGTCTAGATGGCTCCTCCAACTGTGTTCCGAAAATCTCCTCGGGTCAATCTGAGCCCATGCCAGAGTTAAGCCAACTGGTTAGGCCCTGCTGAACTGACAAGGATGTCAGAGTAGATGTCATTTGGGGCTCTATCTCTGGGAATTGCTGGTGTTCAGAGAGGGTCGTCAGCTGTGCAAGTCCGTAGATTTTGTCAGATCTACAAGTGACTATGAGGTTGAAGAACCGATCTGGGCTTTATATAACGTAGACACCCGTTCACAGAGGTTTGGAGGCGCGGATGCTTCTGTTGCCCCAAGAGGGCCAGCACTTCCCTCTCCTCAGAAGAAACTGGGAGACAGCTGGAATGTTTATGAGACCTGGTTCCCATTAGGTGCTGAGGCTCATGTCCTGAAGGACTGTTTTTTATGGTCATTGGACTTAAAAATTAAGATCTAGGTTTCAAAACTGTTAGGTGGCTTGTTCTATTGAACTTGGTTCTTTTTAAGCTTTTTCTTTTCAGGCCATTTTTTTTCTTTAGCCTTTAAGAAATAAAATCTTACATGGGCTTTGGTGGTGGTCGTGGGGTAGCGCCTGCAGATCTAAATCTGAGTGGAGATGTTCCTCACCACCTTGCTATGAATGGTACAATTCTCACAGTAATGGAGTTTCATTCACATAAAGCTTTGGACGCACTTATGTATCCGAAAACACTCTCTTTGGAAATGTCCTTGACAGCAGCTGCCTCTACTCTATTTGATTGTTGTTGATTGTCCTCGACTTGAGCACAACTCTTAACGACCTATGAACAAAAGACCTGAAGCCTTTCTATGACTATTATTCCTCAAATTTCAGAGAGTTTCCAGAGGCATGTTGTTTAGGAACTGGATGCCACTTGCCTTGCCTTTAGGCAGGCAGAGGGCCCAGCGAATTCACTGCACGTGGCCCTGGCCCTTTTTTTGTTGTTTCTCCTTTCTTTGTCATCTTAGAAGTGAATAACTGAGAGAGCAACTGAACTTGGTTCATTTTTCAAAAGCTTTTTAGGCTTTCTAATTACTGTATGGTTGATTTTGACTCATCGCCATGCTGTTTGTATCAGAGTAGAGCTGTTTCATAACGTTATCAGTGTCAGCCTTTCAAAAACAGTCTTTCTTCCAAGGCACCCTCTAGATGGACTCTGTATCTCTAACCTCTCAGTAGCTGGGTGCTTTAGCTATTCACACTACCCATGGACTGTAGTTGTTTTGTGCTCTCCAAACAGAACTGACTCATAGGTGATCCTCCAGCAGGTTTCAGAGGCTAAATCCCAAAAGAGGAAATTGCCCCTCTTTATCCTGTGATGCACCTACCTGCCTTTGGATTGACAGTTCAACTTCTTACCCACTAGGCCTTCAGAGTTCTGTGTACTCATGGACTGCTGTTGTTTGGTAAAATCTAGTGGGAATCGAATCATAGCTGACCCACCCTCCAGTGAATTTTCAGAGGCATCTGATCTTCAGGGAGGTAGGTGACTGTCCATCTATCTCCTATGGAGCAGCTTGGTGAATTCAGACTGCATGCTGTTAGGTTGGCACACAACTTCTTACTACTAAGCCACCAGATATCTCTGCCCACACCCTTACTGTTGCTGTGTACCATGGAGTTGGAACTAGCTGAAAGCTGACCCTCCAACAGCAGCACATTACTTAGGAAGATATGCCTATCCTCTCACGGAGCAGCTGGTGGATTTAAACCGTGTTACTTTGAGTTAGCATTGTAACTCCTAACCACTAAAGGCACCAGATCTCCCTAAAAGAATTTTAAAAATTAGTACTAGTTTCCTGAATGAGTATATGTTTCAACTTTTTTCTTGTACCACAGGAAATTAGCTGAATGCAGCTTCCTGCATTTTTAAGGGTGTTTTAATTTTTTTAAAAGAGAGTTTTAGATTTAGAGGAAAAGTGTGCAGAAGGTATAGCGTTTCCACATACCACTTCTTTTCTCTGCATTTACCCCTGTTAATAACATCTTGCATTGCTGTTAGATGTTATTGAATCGGTTCCTACTTCCAAGGATTCTATTTATAATAAGACAAAACATTGGTCTTGAGGTGCCCTGACAGTGTTGCTAAATTTGAGCCTATTGTGTCAATCTTTCATTAGTGCAAGTCACTTTATTGTTCCGTCCCATGTGTTTGGACAAATGTTTGATATCATGTATTCCATTTTTTTATGTGCAGTTAAGTCGGGATCAGCTCATAACCAACCCTCCAGCAAGTTTTTGGAAGGTGTAAATTGCATAAGAGAAAACTGCGCATCTTTCTCTCTTGGAGCAATTGGTAGATTTGAACCACTTGCCTTTGGGTTGGCAGTGCAGCACTTTACCCACTTACCCAGAGTTCCCATGTATTCCACTGTTATGATAAAGTCTCATGCAAAATAGCTTCATTGCCTTTAAAATTCTCTTTTTATCTTTATCCTGAACCTCTAAGAAACACTGTCTCTCTTTGTATTTTCTGACTTCTGATATTTGCACATTTCATTGTAGTGTTTTGTCTTCTTGGGATGTCCTTTGAAATTTTGTGTTCTGTTCTCTTCATTTCTCCCTTTTACTTTGGCTTCTCTATGTTTTACAACAAGTTTCAGAGTTTTTTCTGATATCCATTTTTATCTTTTCTTTCCTTCCTTTTTGCCCTTCATATTGTTATGTGCCATCAAGTTACCCACAACTCATAGAGACCCTTTGTACAATAGGTCTGAAGCCTGTCCAGATCCAGTTTCACTGACTCCAATACTCCCACCCCCATGCCCTAGTAACTGTATCAATCCATTTTATCTGGGACCTTCCTCTCCTTCACTGTCCCTCCACCCTTCTGATCATGATGTCCTTTTCCAAGGATTGGTCACTCCTGGTCACATGCCTAAAGTATGTGAGATGGAGCTTCAAAAATCCTCACCTCGAAAGAGTAAATTGGTTTCACCCTCTCCAAAACAGACTTAATTGTTTTCTTGGTCTATGATATGTCAAGACTCTTCTCCAGCACCACAGCTCAAAGGCATTGATTCTTCTTCTATCATGCTTAGTCATTATCCAGCTCTCAGAGGTAAAGCAAGTAATTTCAGAGACCATGGACTGAATCAGATACACCATAGTCTCTAGACTGACATCGTTGCTTTTCAGTACTCTGGAGAGGTCCCTGACAGCAGATTGATTTCTTTATTGTTGGTGTCAAAAGTGTTGATTATGGAGCCACAGCTGTTACTGTTAACAAGGTCAATCTCTTCTCCATCCATCATGGTGCTTCCAGTTGGCCCAGTGGTGAGAATCTTTGTCTTCTTGATGTTGAGCTTCAGTCCATATCAAAGACTATAGTCCTTGACTTCCTACAGCAAGTTCTTCAGGTCCTCCTCAGTTTCAGCAAGCAAGGTAATGTCATCTGCATAATGTAGGTTATTGATGAGTCTTCCTCCAAATCCTGATGCCACATTCTTCCTCATAAAGCCCAGCCGCCCAAATGAAGCCTCATTCATATACAATGAAGAAAACACCTTTTGCTTTCTTCATATATGATATCTTTAATGTCATACCATATCAAAAATCTCTGGTCATTGATGTTTAAGGCATCAAATCTATTCTTTTTTTTAATCAAAATCTATTCTTGGGATGGTTTTTAAATCCAAGTGGAATATACTCACCATTGTATTTTAACTCTTGTATATTTTCTTCCGTTTTAACTTTAATTTGCATATGATCAATTGATGATCTGTTCCACAATCAGTCCTTGGTCTTGGTCTAGCTGATAATTGAGCTTCCCTGCCAGACATCTCTTTTATGTAGTCAATTTGATATCTGGACCTCTACAGAGTACTGAAGATAACAGTGTCAGTCTGGAGGCTAAGATGCACCTGATCCAGGCCAGGGTCTTTGCAATTACTTGCTGTGCATCAGAGAGCTGGACAATGACTAAGGATGAAAGAAGAAGAATCGACACATTTTAATTGTTCTGGAGAAGAGTATTGAATATTCCATGAAGTGCTAAGAGAACAAGCACGTCTATCCTGGAGAGGGTAAAGACGGATTGCTCCTTGGAGGCAAGGAATTTGAAGCTACATATGACATATTTTAGGCATGTTTCCAGGAGGGACCAGTCCTTGGAGAGGGACATCATGCTTGGGAGGGTGGAGGGATAGTACAAGAGAGGAAGACCCTGTATGAAATGGATTGACTCGGTGACTGGGGTAATGGAGGTAGGTGTGTCAGAGATAATGAAATTGGCTCAAGATGGAGCAGGGTCCAGAGCTGTTGTAAATGAGGTCACTATGAGTCACAGGCGACTCAACACATAACAACAACATGGTTCACATACCTATCTGCCAGTGATTCCTTAAGAGAGAGCAAATGACAAAGCTTATATCTCAAGATACAGTTTGAGAAGTTGGTTGCAGTTATTAACTACATATTTATATAAATGCACAAAAGATTATTTTCAT